AAGAAAAACTCCATTGTATAAAAAGGAGTATTCGAATTGAATTGAAAAATCTCCTGGAGATTTTAAAATTATTTTAGAGTGTACTTTCTGGGTTTTAAAAAGCCTATTTTCTGTTCATTTTGAAATGTGATTACACTGCTTTGAGTAGCATTGAAATGTGCTTAAATAGAATTTTTCGCTTCTATAGTATTTTATTTTATATTTACCGCGTTTATATTATTATCCCATTAAGTATTTAAAAAATACATATATGCCTAGGTCTAAATGTGTCAGAGAGAGAGGTAAAATAATTAAATTTGAGTAGTGTGCATATTTATGTGAACACTTGAAAAAAGTTCTTCGTGCGTACTCAAATTTCTGTAAGTAGCTACTCGTGTTTATGATTAGCTTGCGGTAATATAAACACTTTCAAATGCGTTACGGACTTGTTTGTGTATGCTAAAGCAGGTGAACCTTAATAGCAGGTGAAACTAAATGAAAATGACATAGAAGCTTCAACAAGTACTTTGATACTGGCTTTGTGAGAGAATTAGTAATTTGATAGAAAACATATGGTAAAGTTTAAAGAAATTTCAATTGATAAGAGAAGTGCTATTGTAACTTTACAAAGGTCAGTCATATAGGATTATCGCAAAAAAGTGAAAATGTCGTTGAAGGGTGTCCAAACTACCATAGCGCGCTACAAGATATTCGGTAATCTGGTTGACCGTACTCGCTTATGACGCCCAAAAGTAAGTCACTTCTCAAGAGGATCAGTTTATGATGGATACAAACAAGCGAAATAGACGACTAATTGCATCGGAAATCTTGTACTTTAACCGCGAAAAGCAGAACATTTCTTTTGAATGTGCGAATGCATTTGTAAAGTAATTGATTCAATTATTACTCACTTTAACTATCATGATACCAAGAAAGCAAAATCGAAACACATTATTCACGTATATTAAGAAGATATTTAGAGATAGCAATTTCTTCAACATTAACATTGTACTGAAATAGAATGTATCTATATCAATAACATTATAATATAACTGAAAATATTAATATAATACAATTTTTTGTAGTGTATTACAAAATTCCATATTATACGTTACTTACATATGACATCCAAATTTCTTCATTAATTTGCAATTTTTCTAAACAATTTTAAAAAACTGCACTTACTGTATAATTGTATTGTGTTGTTGACATAAGCTTTTTAACTCCGTTTTTAAGGAGAAATGTACTCTAAAATTATTTTCTGAGAAACTGCTGCTATCTTGTTGATGATTACTATTTTGAAATAGTAACACAAGTCTAGAAGTAATGTATTGATATTGCGAAGATACCAATAATATCAAATGTGTTGTATAAACATCCACGCTGACTTTCTTTAAAAAAATGTATACATTGCTGATTGCTGCTATCACGCTACCCAATAAGAAAATATTAATAGAGAATGGCTCCTTGGAATAAACGGCTGGTGATCTAAAATCTACGTAGTAGAAAGTATTCTTTTCAAATACCAACGAAAACGATGAGCAAAACCAGAAAAGAACCGCAAATGTGCCACACATAAGGTATAATTTAAATGGAGTCTTCATGGGTTTCAAATTCATTATTACAATATTCTTTATATTTTCGTCTTCGATGTTTAAAATTTTATTTATTTTTCGTATAATTTGTTGTAGCAGTGTTGATCGTGTTATATGTATTCGCACTACTATCAAACCTGATTCTAATGTGGTGATGAGGGCAACTACTCCATCGTTTAATGATTTCTCTTTCGGTACCACAAAGAAGGAAACTATCAATGTGACTGTGTAAATCAATTCTAATAACCATACGACAGCACTGTATATCTTCCATAATATTGGAAATGATGAATTGTGGGTCATCGGTAACAAATTGCCCGAAAGCAGATTTAATCGAGCGTTGAAGGAATTTAAGCTTTGGAAATCCATGAGAACTTAGTATTGTTTTTTATAACGAACAGAAATTGTTCTGTAAAGTAAAAAACATAATACAAGATTTCAAATCGTCTATTCTATATCTTTCGCATATATACATATGCATTTTTATTGCGTCCATGCAATATATAAAATTACTATTCACTAAATCGTAATATCGCATAGTATTCACATAGTATTTGTACAATGTTGCAATAACATTGTAATAAACTACTTTGCATAAAGGTCTGAATATACAATAAATTGCTGCAATATTATATTATAATAATGCATCGTAATATCTCAGTAATATGTTCATAATATTAAATTGAAAGTTGTGATGTTACTGCAATATTACAAACTGTGTATGGATATATAGATGAGTGTTTCCTTCAAAACTATATATCATAAAAACATATACAATTCTTAGTAAATATGTTACACTCTACCTCTGTTTCACATTTCTGTTAATGCGTTGCGTTTTTCCAGAAGAATAAAATATTTCTGTTGATATTTGAAAGTTATTAGTAAAGCTTAATATCCTTACTAACCTCTGCCTCTTATCGATATATATTATTCTCCTCTTTGTGACAGTATACATAAAGTATAGACACGTATTCCTTTTCTTATAATAATTGAAATTGAGTGTATCTTCCTTTGTGGACATAGTATCGATAATAACGAAGTAATTTAATTAGCTGAAATTAGAAAGATGCCATCCGCTACATATAAAGGAATTTATAAATGCATGTCGCGACAGTGTATATAGAAGAAATGTATTTTAATGTCACTGTGCAGCGATCAGCCACAGCGACTGGAAGGTTATTGGTATGTAAATATCAGTACGCTATAAAGTAATAATTATCTTATAGTATACTGTGTTTAATCTAAGAATATTTGCCTGTTCTTAGGAACATTTTACATTCGTTTTTTTAATCTAAAAATGTTGCAGTCCTTACTGATCTACACAAGAAGTCTACATGACGTACATAAACATGAAGTTATTTGCACTACACGCGTAGAGTATAGTCTGCGCAAAATTTAACAATTCCCATCTTATTCCATATATTGTAAGTTGATCCTTAATGTAAATTGTTATTGTAAATTATATTATTTTACTATTACTTTTATCGTTTTTATTATTATATATTTTTAATATTCCGTTAATAATAAATTTTTAGAAATGTTAAAGAAAAGCATTTATACTTTTCTTTTATCATTAAAATATTATATACAAATCTACATTGAACTACTTAATGATTTCATCTCTTCATATGTTATATAAGATAATACTAATGTAAGTTGCTACTTTCGTTTAATCACATTTTCATAATCTAAGAAAAAGAATTAAAACGTGTCTTCTTTTATTAAAGATTTTCATTGATTGAAAATATTTACCGAAAATATATCTATTGCATATTAAAATACAAGATATGAGAATATTATAAATTTTACATCCTATATTGTTATAAATAATTAAAATCGTTATTTCTACATTCAGTTCTCTATTACTGTAACATTTATTTTTTATACTATTTTATTCGCTTACTGCTTCAATTTTTGTTTAATCACAAAGCTTAATATTTTATTACAGACTACTTAAGATAATTAGATGATTATAAGATGTAATATCAAAAGATAAAATAAGAATCATTATTATATTAGCAATTAATGTAATAAACTTAAATTACATAATCCAATAAAATATATTTTAAAAGACCACGTATGTAGAACTCAATAACAATTTATAACTCAATTTTGCATCGAAATAAATACTGAGCATTATAAAAAAAATTCAAGTTAATAAAAGCTACATGATATTTGTAACTTTTTTCAAAAATTATAAAGAATCCAACTTACTGGATGACTGTATTATGATACCGACAATAATTTTTATATCTTTTTCTGTGTAATCGTCTTGATTAAGATAATATCTGTCACTGTACTTCTCATCATCTTGTCCTTTACACTCAAACCATCATTCAATTCTTGAATTAACTGTTACACTAGTCCTCTATAGTTGCAAAATCGTATAATTGTACAAATAACTTCCAAAACAATACCGATTTCATTACAATATCGATTATACCATTTTTTATGGCTTTCTTTTTCGGTACAAAAAGACATCCAGGGATTAACACACATGTTTCAAGAAGTTTTGTAGCGACTATATCAGAGTGCTGTATATTTTTCAAAGTATTGGAAACAATGAATTATCAGCGGTCATTGGTAACAAGTTGCCCGACACCATGTACAGCCGATAATTTAGAGAATTCACATTTTGGAAATCCATGCTTTGATGTTTCGTTGTATATATCGTCCTTGATGGAGAGAAAAGAAAAATAAAATATTTACAACGAAAAAATCAAATAAAAGTTTAAGAGGACGCGATTCTATCTATTTCTAATTTAATTTACATTACACATTTAATTTTAAATATTAATGAAAAATTTGCTTGACATTTTAGAACTGTTTATATACATACATATGAAATATATGCAATAATAGATTTTAGCGTATTGTCTGCAATTACGTTAGTAATTTAATAGAGGAAAATAGTTGGTGACATTGGTCTTTTAAAGAGACACTTCTTTATTTCTTAGAAATTATTGCACTTTATTAATAGTACGTATATTAAAGAGATGCTGAAGCTGCCAGTATTACCAATAAAACTAGCGTTTTTGACGTTCCTGTTCAACTTTGTAGTAGTTCCATGGAATAAAAATTTCTTTTCCACGATTAAAATATACATGCTAATGTATTGAGCGCTGGTGTATTTCGTGTTCAAAGCTATTTAGAATATAAAATTACAGATTTCTTTATCTCAGTATGGCAGGAATCTATAATTTTTTGTCTTTTTCCAGCTTTTAATATGAAATACACTAACGCTCAATAAATTAGCATGAATATTTTAAGCACGTATAAAAAAATACGTATCTTTTACTTTGATGTAGACTGTAACATACACAAAACTTATTAAAATCAGAGTATAACACTTGGATAGGTTTACTTTGAGAAAATACAAAATATTTGTGCTAAAATATTTACAATAAACGGAAAACATACTTGTTTTTATTTCATTTTTAGAAACAAAAGTGCGAACGAGTATGACTGATTCAAGATCTATAAGAAATAGACAACTTATAATATTAATACTTATATATATACATATATATACTGCAATATAACTTCTACAAGAGCAAAGAAAATTATTTACAAAAATGATATAATTATATATGCAATATAAGCAGTACATTAAGTCTTACCGTCATGAATGAAGGCAGAGATAGACTAAATCTTTCAGAGATTGACAGTTTGCACTCTAAATTATTAGTTATTATCATCATCCTGAGCATATCTTTTAATGATGGTCCAAATTGATACCATTTCTCATGAAATGCGTTATCTGTTATTCCTACACTCTAAATTTTAGAGAAAGATGACAATACATAGAAGCGATTTTATTCAATATATAATTAATATTTAATAATTTATATATAATTATTTATGCAGATATTGTATTCAAAATTTTCAAATACTTTTATGTAGTATACAGAAATACAAATAAAGTTATATATTTTAAATTTTTACACAGATTATAGATTGTTTAAAGAATTAAGCATAAGGGGGGAGAACACAATTATTAATTAGAAACAGACAACTTTGTTTTATTTTATAAATATTATTTATATGTTTACGTAATTTATGTATTTCTTAATAATAATTCGTTCTCATAATCCTTTTATATATAATACCGTAATTTAAAACTTCTTAAAAATATGTTATATTATACCTATTATTACGGAATAAAATAAAGGTACGTACATTACAAGATAGAAAGAATTGTAATAAAAATACTAATAAATATTAAAGTAAAGCTTACCGCATCCAGTAATTGATTAAGGCATGAGCATAAAATATAAAGTTGCACTAAGCCACCGGATATATACATAATTATCATAATTCCTTCTACAGGAGTCTTTGCTAATACCTATTTCGATAACGTTATCATTAGTATCATTTTTAATTATCTAAAAACCATTTTTAGTATTATTGCTATTGTCAAATCTTACTCACTGCACTTATCAGCATAATATCGAGAAAGCAGAAAAGAAAAACATTAGTCAAATACATTAGACTCATATTCAAAGAAAGTAATTTTTTTAGCATTAGCGTTATTCTGAAAGAGAACACATAAAGTGACATAAAGAAACATGTTCAGTTAAGAGTAATATATAAATTAAAGTATTATTAAAATATAATTACTTTTATTTTAAATTAAAGAATATTCTTAAGAGACGAATAACAATAATACGAAAAAATAATATATGATGAAATATTAAACTAATTGTAAAACAGGCAAAAGCTCACCAATTACTTACTGAACCACAGTGTTGTGATGTCGACATAACGCCTTCATCTTCATCAGAACCGCCAATGAATCTACAGTAGAATATTCCTTTACAAATTTATTATGCTGATCTTGTGGAATATTTTCTCGAAATATTGTTGTGAGCTTCACAGCAATATAACGATATTGTGCCGTTACCAGCAACACAAGATTTATCATATAAACATCCAAGGCAACTTTCTTTATAAACATATACACGCTGGCAATAGTTGCAATGCAGTTTCCCAATAGAAACATTTCCATCGAGAATGGTTGTTTTGAAAGAACTATTGGTAGTCTGTAATCCTCATAGAGAAAATAGTTTTTTTCGAAGATCACCGTGAAAGACATGCAGCACCACACTAATATAGATCCAGTCCCAGCAATGCAATAAAATTTGAGCGGAATCTCTACCGGCTTCAAGGTGGACCTCACGATGATCTTCAATGTGTTATCCTCAGAGCACAGAATTTCATTTAGTTTTTGAATTAATTGAGTTACAAGGACTCTGTACATATACATTTGCTTTAATAAAAAAAATACTTCTATGGTGACCACTAAGCCAACCGTTGCATCCTGCAAAGCCTTATTTCTTGGCACGATCAAGATTCCAGCAATTACTGCGGTAGTTTGAATCGTTTCGATTAACCATATGACAGCACTGTATATCCTCCACGCTGCAGGAAACAGAGAATCGTCGCTAGTCATTGGTAACAAGTTGCCTGAGAACCTGTTTAATTTAACATTTAATGGATTTACATTTTGAAAGTCCATATTTTAGTAAATGATCTTTCCTGATTAATGGAATATTGTATAAAATATATAGCTTGTTTTCGAATTCTCTTTCTTCTCTTTGTTCATAAAATACATTAAATAATGTCTTATTCTGAAGTTGATTTGTCTCCTATACTAGTTAAGAAATAATTTAATTAGTTATAGCTGGATGTTAGCGCTAATCCTTTCAGTCTTTAATATAAGTAATCATGTTTAAATTGTGTACTGAATTTAAATGTATACCCAGGTATATATTTGTATTTACCTTTTATTGACATTTTTATTATCGCTCACATTCTATTCTTCTCTTTGGAAATATATACGGAACTTTACAATCACTATTGAAAGTTGATAGCAACCAATCGTCAGTTTTGAATATCTTGTTCCCCATGAATTTCTATTTCTTTGTAGTTTGCACTATACATGCATTGTCATTGGGGGGACGTATCATTTTCATTTACCATGATTATAAATGTTTATTCTATGATGACAGATTAGAAATGTGGTAAATAAATTATTATCAACAAAAAGCTTTTGTAAAGAAATAGAGAAGCTTGTAATCGTCTCGACAAATTTATGATTGTCACGATATGATCATTTTATTTGTACAGGTTGACCGTGACTACAAGTTACTTTATAATTATCCTGGGAGCAGCGATTATCTTATGGTACTTTAATACTTCAGGGGTACTTTATCGCAAAGCAAGAAGTAGAAAAACCAGTATATGATACTAGTCTAGTATACTCTTCTTGAGACAGCAATTGAGTATTGATTTATATGTACTGTGAACATGCTAATATCATTTTATAAATTGCAAAAGGAAATATATTTATTTACCAATAAAATAACAATTAAAGTGAGTATTTCTATTACAAATACATATAGTTTAAAAAAATTACAAAACTACAATTATTTTAAATTAATTACTTTTAATTCTTTTGCATTTTTTAATGTGTGTTAGTACATATAAAAGGATTTAATTTTCAAAGTTTTAAAAAAATTTTGACTTAATTTATTAAAAATTTGGCCTTTATAAACTTTACGTCTTGTTGTATATTCATATAATACCGTCTTAATAAATTGTTCATTATTGTTAAATCTCTTTATTTATTATTTAATATTAAAAAAATTTTAATATGAAAATTATTATATCATTAATATATTTTGTAATAAATTTTGCAAAAGGATTATATGTATTACGAACACATTACAATATATCAGTAATATTATACATATACATATAATACTATAATTGATAACATAATATATGTTATTGTCAAAATATTGTGTTAAACATTTTTTTATTTTTAGTGTATTGTAATAACGCTTGTTTGTACATTTCACTTTCACTGTTAATCCTAATTATAAATACATACTAATTATTTTTACGAATTAAAATGTTATAATGAATGTATTAAATTTTATCTACATAGTTTATTACTATTAATAGTTATAATTTGCTACATATTTATCTATAAATTTACTACAATTTGCTTACAATTAATTTAACTTCTTTTAATTAATTTTAAAAGTAAAAATAACAGAGAAAGATATAACATGCGTATAACAGACGAAACTCAATAGATATCACTTTAAATATGTGTAAGTACATGTTATGACTGTACGTTCTCTGAATTATCATTCAAAATATACATACAAAATAAAAATAGTACATTGTATTATATTAAATGCATCGAGATATAATACAGCACAACAACGGATATTACGCTGGCTGCTCCATATATCTTGAACGTATCATAACTGGTTTCAGAACTGATTTTATAATATTTTGCATGACGTCATCTTGCAGGATGTTATTTATCTTCTCGATCACTCGAATTATCACCTTTTTATGCACGTAAAGACATGTGCCATCATGTTCACTTCTACGGTAACCACGATGGCGACAGTGCCGTTTTTTAAACTTTTCTCTCGATTAGAATAAGCCCAAAAACTAATGCCATTGTATAAACAATTTCGATTAATAATGCAATGGCAATATATGCGCCAGGATATCGGAAATTGTAAATTATCGGACATTGATAATAGATTGCCTGAAAGTACATTTGCTTTATTATTCAGTGGATTTACATTTCTGAAGTTCATGCTTTTGATTTTGTTTTCTTGATGAATCAAAGTTATTTTGATATCGTAATCTGTAAAAATTGATGGGTCTACACTAATTCTGGTTTTATCTTTCACTGTCTTTTTTTTTTACTAATATAAATGCTCGAGTCTTCTATTAGCATTTCAAAACTGCATCGAGATGACCGTCTATTCTCAGAATCTGCAGCATTTTTATAGAATGATTCTATTGTCCAGTTTTTAATAATATGTTATATACTATAAACGGTAATATTCTGTAATTATTAACCATCCTTCTGTGATCATTGTGTAGATATAATGGAACTTAATTAATATCGTCGACAATATACAATACCTTTGGGTGACTATTTGGAATAGCCCCGTCTTTTATTGCGAAAAGATATTGGAATTAATAAGTGTCATGATACTAAGAAAGATGGTAAATATAAAATGATTTCTTACGTTTATTACAGGAATAAGGAGGATCACGTCACTGGTTTTCCTATAGCTACACATGCCTTTGAAAAGCGATGATTATCTTATGGTATTATGTATTAATTGCGTGCAAACGTATGTCGCAGAGTTGCCAGTAGTAAAGGGATCGTAGTGCTAATGCTATTCTATGCGTTCTTCAATAGATGGAAAACTGCAACTGTTTGGTTTACAGTAAATTAAAACAGAATGTGCTAATTCTCATCGTGCTTGAGGTGAGTTTTTTTAATTTAGATAGAAAACTATATATTATATTACACTATTCTCCATTAACTTTTTCTTTTACACGCTAAAATATATATATATAACATTATAATGATTTGATTTTATCAAAGAGATGAAAAACGATAAAAACTTCTGACATTGTATATTGATAATGGAACTTTATGATTTTCGTGGTCTATATTTGGGTAATGTGCAGTACTTAAGTGTTCTGTTTATTAATAGTATTAGTCTTTCATTCTTATATTTTATAAAGTGTTTTGTTCTGAAATAAATAATATAAATCTTAGCAACAATAATTGTTCACATAATTAAATTTAATTACCCTTTAAATGTGTATACATGATATAGATGCAAATAATGTTCACCGTCCTTGTCAATTTTTATTTTACTTTTAAAAGCAACAGAGCTATTGAATATGACTGATTTAAAATCTAAAACAATACTTGAAAATTAGAATGATACTTAAAAATGTGCTTGAGTATATTATTATACTTAGGCGTATTAGTTGCTTATAATGCTTATATAATGGTATTTCTAGATAACAGCTCGAATTTTGTAAAAAGTAATAATTAAAGTAAATTAATAATAATAATAACGATAAACTTTGAAAATAACAGACTATCTCCAATAACTTTGACCTTGACATATATTATCAAGGTCATGGCCTTGAATGATCTCCAGGAAGTTTTAGCCCGCTGTATTTGTTCAAAAATTATTAACAAATAATATAAATATGTATTTAACTATATAAATTTTTAATTATAACTATCATAAATAACTCCATATCTCCATCTTCCCCCTGCACGATTGTCTACGCAAAGCGATGTCCATCAAACCTTCTTCTGTACCAAAAGGCTCATATAACTTTCTAAGTTGAGAGATATAAAGTATACTTTGTTTCGCATGGAAATTTGCGCGATCCTAAGCAGGGGGAAGGAAAGTGAGATGAACCTCACTTCACGTGAAGACTTATGCGCTCATAAGCAGTGAAGAGATGCGGTGGATCTCTCTTTTTGCATGGAAAGTTGTATGCTCATCATAAACAACGGAGAAATGTAAAGTGGATTTTGCTCAAATAAAAAATTGTTACAAAATTACAAATTTTCTATTTTAAAAACAAAAATAATACAAGAAAATAATGTTTTCAGAAAAAATTTGTGTTTTTAAAGTAGAAAATTCATTTTAAAACAAACAATTTTTGTTTTATACAGCAAAACTTATTTTATTAATAACTTTTAAACTGATAACAAGCGCAGGCTAAAACTTCCAAAGATTACTCAAGGCCATGACTTGGAAAAGTCTTGTTACATATACAAATAAGGAAAAGACCTTTATTTTACAATATTTGATAAAAATAAACGAAATTTAAATTCACGAAAAGGGTTTTAAAGTTTGAAATCTATATCTTTGGAAATCTTTAAAAAAATTACTATATTTTTTGAAACTAATGGAGACAAACAGGGCTACGAGCCAATAAATTCGTTAAATTCTTTAATTTATTCTAATATATTGCAAAGAATATCACCTAATTTTGGCGTTTCGTCCCGGCTTCCACTACTGGACTCATCAGTAATAAGGCATTGTAGTGGAAGCCTACCTTATACGCCTGTAAGAGTTATTCAATTGAAATTCTGTATAAAGAGATATACGCGTATCAAAGCACTTGCGAGAATTTGCGAATATCGATAGACCTCTGATGGCGGGTTGACGTAGTAATATTCTTTGCAATATTTATCCATAGTAATATATGTATTGCCCCCACCCCCCCAACTTGCCCCCCAACAATCGTCGGTCTTGAAACGCAACCCTATCTGAAAAATTCTCCCAAATTGCGCGCCGAGCAATCGTCGGTCTTGAAACGCAACTTAAATTAATCTAAAATAACGTCCCCTTAATCAAATTGTCGATCCGCCATCAGAGATCTATCGATATTCGCAAATTCTCGCAAGTGTTTTGATACGCGTATATCTCTTTATATAGAATCTCAATTGAATAACTCTTACAGGCGTATAAGGTAGGCTTCCACTACAATGTCTTACTGATGAGTCCAGTAGTGGAAGCCGGGACGAAACGCCAAAATTAGGTGATATTCTTTGCAATATATTAGAATAAATTAAAGAATTTAATGAATTTATTGGCTCGTAGCCCTGTTTCTCTCCATTAGTTTTAAATTTATTGAGCCTTATTACAATCTACA